CCGGATAACAATTTTTTTTCACGTAATTTATTCTTTAATTTTGCATTTTCGTTAACAGTAATGGACGCTGTGATACTTGATGACGTTCATCAGCAATCGCATATTTACCAAGGTGACTACGACCAACGTAGAGGAAGGTGACTGACGTGCTAGACCCCAAAACATGTTTTCACATAAATTATATAACCGATGCATCGAATCGGTTGTCACGTTGTCTACCCGGGTGACTACGTCCAACATCGAGGAAGGTGACTGACATGCTAGACCCCCAAGAAAAGACTTTGACAGGTATCCGGTTAACTAAACCACTATCCTTATCACGAATCCTCCATCCTTATCACACATCCACTTTTCTTATCACAAATCCAATATCCTTATCATAAATTGTTATCACAAATCCACCATGCTTATCACTTATCTACAATCCTTATCAATAATCCACTATCCTTATCACAAATCCAGTTTCCTCATCACTAATTTATACCACAAATCCTTATCACTAGACCTTCATACCACCCATTAACCGCCCAGCTCGAGACTGGCGACTGGCGACGGCGGCTATATGATTTGCATGGACGTCCGAAATTTTTTAAATACTTTTCAAGTAATTTATTACTTTTTTTGCTTTTTCGGTAACAGTTATGAACGTCGTCCGCGATTCGACGCAGTCGGATTGCATACGTGATGACGTTCCCCAGCCGTCGAGTATTGTCGGATTGCCTTCCAGGGTGACTACGACCAAAGTCGAGGAAGGTGACTGACCCGCTAGACCCCAAATACTATTACTACGGCGAACGTCATTCGAGGTGACTGACCTGCTAGACACACACAAAAATACAACGACGATTTATAATTTTTTTACGGAATTTTGAATTTCCGGCGGCAGTAAAGAACGTTGTCGTCGAACGTTGTTGCTTACCGGGGGGGCTACCACGCCAAACCACGGTGGACCTAACCTTATCAGAGTTCCTTATCACACACCGACCAGCTCGAGACTGACGACCAGACCAACAGACCACTGCATCTTCCGAAATCGAAAACACTCATGACCGACACCCGGGGGTCTGGGGGTATCCCCCAGCGACGCTCGGAGAGCTAGTCTTATACTATAAAGCGTGAACCCGAGGGCGCAGCCTATGTTTTAATTCCGAACTAGCGTAAGGGAGAGCCAATGAGAAAATTACATTTCTAACCGTGGGCGGTCTCCCGGAGCCGTCGCTGCGTTATCACTCCTCTTATCACTTTTTGCCGTTTTTTTTCGAAAATCAAAGAAATTTCGAAAAAAAACGAGTTTTACCCCCCCGGGGGGCCTCGGGGGGCCCCGTTCGGACCTTATTCGCGTTCCTCGGTAAATTTATAGTCGGCGCGCGGCCCTACTTTTTTCCCGGCGGGCCCGCGGCGGCGGATGTCGAGTGCGATACGGGGGCCGCCGTCGCGCGCGTTTTTTGCATTTTTTTTTCGAAAATTCGAGTTTTAGGCGTTTTAGGGCGGATCGACCTCCCCGTTTGAATCTTATTCGCGTTCCCCGCTAAATTTAACGTCGAAACGTGGCCCTACTTTTTCAAAAACGAGTGCCCCGGCGGGCGTATCGATCGCCGAGGGCGCCGCGTCGTCGCCGTTTCGACGGTTTTCTCGACTTTTTCGACTAGAGTCGCGTGTAGCAACTCTACGAGACGTCCGACCTCCCCGCCGGCGACGTATTCGAGTTCCGCGCTAAATTTATAGCCGGCGAGGGTACCTACTTTTTCAAAAACGAGTCCCGGGGAGGAGCGACGTCGCATAAATACGTGCGTCTCGAGGTTCGATTTTTTTCGCAAAGCTCGGGTATTATACGTCCGAGGGCGGCGGAGCCGGTCGTCCGCTCGCCGACGCTGTCGGATCGCCCGCTCAAACGCCCTTTGACGGCCGTCCAAACGGCGTTCACCTTTCGCGGGGACGGCGACGCGGCTTAAGAGTCATAGAATTGATTAGGATTTTCATCTGAGTAGGTGGCTAGGTTGGTTAGGCGTTAGGATAGGTGATTCGAGGGTCGTGGGTTCGATTCCGCCGCCCGGGATATTCGATAATTTGCGGCGCCTCTGTTAAATGGGAATTTTTTTTCACTTTTTTTTTTTCGTCGTTTGTTTCCGATTTTTTTCAAAATTCGAGTTTTACCGCCTCCACGGACTTCGGACCTCCCCATCGAAGACTTATTCGAGTTCCCCGTCAAAGCAGCCCTTGATACTATTTATTTCTATACACGGGCGTGAATATATGCGTCGAAGAGTTCGATTTCCTTTTTTTGCCGCTTTTTTCAAAAATTCGAGTTTTAGCCCGTTTCGGTCGTATCGCCCTCAACGTTTGGATCTTATTCGCGTTCCACGCTAAATTTACAGCCGGCGCGCGGCCCTACTTTTTCACATACGAGTCCCGGAGGGGAGTGGCGTCGCGGAAACGAGAGTAGGTACCGTGTAGGTGCGGTACGCTATTTACAGGCATAAATACATTTGTCGAGTCGTTTATTGCCGTTTTTTTCTAAAATTCCAGTCCTAGCCCTTTTCGACACTTCTGCCCCCCCTCCCGTAGACGACTTATTCGCGTTCCCCTCTAATTTTATAGGCCGCGCTTTCTCGGCCACGGCCCGCGGCGGACGAGTCGATCGCGGAGAGCGCTGCGTCGTCACGATTTCAACCATTTCAGGTCAGGACGTCGTTTTTTCTTATTATTGTTATTATTCTTAATATTATTACGATTTAGGAGCGACACTGTGGTCTGCGATACTACAGTGCGACCGTTCTTATACGTGACATTATCCCGGAGGTGGGATGGAGTGGAGCCGCGGGGGAACAACTTTGGCGACGCGACACGCGCCCGTTTCGACCTGCCTGATCACGAGGTGACCGACCCTCTTGCAGCGCACATCAACTGTCACGGAAAAGCTTAATACTTTGTGTTATTTTTTGTTACAGTGCTTTCCTTTGACTTTTGTCTATTCTGCATTGAGCGCTTTTCACACACCGGTAAGTCAACTTTTATATCTCCTTCTATATAATATAATATTCAGATAAACTACAGGTGTATTCATGGCAGCGCGTATCGCGAACGAACATATTTTCACCACCTACACACGTTTTTCGTTTGTTGTCATTTGTTTTCCGCGGGTTTCGTGTTTTTTCGTACACCGCAAAATGTGCTTTGAATACCTTTAACGGTTTTTGTATTCGCATTCGTATTAGCTGTGAGAGGTGTATGTCCGTTAGCCGTTTCGGCGCGTTACCATTGCGGTACACGTGTTTTATCGCTTGGAATTTTGCTTTAACAGTTAATAAAAAGCTGGGTATCCAATGTCATTTTTCTTATTTTTCTATTTTGTATGTACATCACGTAAGCCGGTGTGTACTCTAACGAGTTTTTCATATTATTTAGTATTTACTTTTTACTTATTATTATCTTTATCTAGCCTCGATTTTTCTTATAATATATAATATATATTATATTAGGCTTTCTTAGCTTTTTTGTGTTTTGCGTTGGGCGCTTTTCAAAACCGGTGAGTACAATTTTGTAATACATAATAATAATTAATAGTAGGTATAACGTTTGTACATCCCACGTACCTACTGTTTTATTCATGACATAACCTAACCTAACCATGCGTTTTCGATTTTAATAAACGTCTATATCGTCTATGTACACGCCATTTCCACCTTTGCACGTTTCGTGTTCTATGTTAATACGACATTTGTATTTCCGCTTGCCGTGTTCATATCCGCGGACATAGACTTAAACGCCTACGTGCTCAAAAAGCTTTAAACGACGCTTTTTGCAGTTACGACTTACAAGACCGTATTGTGTGTGCGGACGTCACCCTACGATAAATAATCAATACTGTATGTACACCTAATAGTATTATATACCTACCGTGTACAAATAATAAAATTTACTGAATTTCTAAAAATAAACACACAACACCGGATTATTAACTGATAACATGGGTACTGATTACACCAACAAGGAGTTTTACTTATATTATTATTATAATAAAATATATTGTTTGGCCATTACCTTTTCAAAATGTTATTATATATCTTTTTAGGAAAATATAACAATGGTGAAATATTGCGTGATTTGTGGCAACGTCGATGGCGTGGATGGCGTTTCTATGCATGGGTATTTATATAATAGAACAAATATTATATAACAAAACTATTCGTAATACTATGATTGTTTTAGTTTTCCAGCGAATGTCAATCGGAAGCGTCAATGGGTGATGTTCGCCGAGAACAATGGTGTCAATGCTCGACAGATATTGGCTCATTCCAGGCTCTGTTGAAGGCATTTTGTTGCTGGTCATGATTACCACGGAGCAGCCATACATCGCCGTCGACTAACTGCTGGAGCATTGCCGTCAGTAGTGAGTAACAACCAACCGCTGTATTAAACAAATAGTGTCAGGCTGTACCTACCGCATAAGATTCACTCACTTGATCATTACATTACTACCCTATACGTTTCACTTGACCACTCATAAAGTGTGAATTAAAATATTATTTCAATATACATATTTGGTGGCAGGTATTTTACTCTGGCTACAGTGTTATACTATACCTACTAGACTACCTAATAGGTACTTGCATTAAGTCATTGTTGTTGGTTAACATTCTTTTGTGTCTCAAGTATTTTAACACAAAACAATATGTCTGAGTCAGAACTTTTATTATATAATGAATTATAATTTATAATTAAATGAACTTTTTATTATAATGATGGCACGTTTTTAGTTATTACAGAACAATCAGTGTCGCCAACACAACATCTCTCCCTACTTAATTTTATAATATAATTTTTATAATAATAAATATGACAAACTCTTAAAAAAAAATATTACAAATAATAATAATACAAATCATACTAGAAAAGAAAATTAATACATTTTTTTTTTTTATATTATATAACATGTGGTATAATAATAATACATAAAAAAAACAAATACAAATATATAATTAATTTATCAATTTTAATTATTACAAAAACTTTTTTGGTTTATTAATATGTCTTTTAGATCGCCTTACTTCCATACTATCATTTATATCAACTTTTTCCTCACTCACATCTCTCTCTTTTAATTTGTGTAGTAAAAGTTGATCAATGTGTCTCTTAATTTGCCCACATTCAGAGTCCACAATAAAAATTACTTTTCCTACTTTCTCTTTAATTTTTCCTGTAATCCATTTCTGTCCTTTGCTATAATTCCTTGCTAACACCGTATCACCTATCTTAAAATTTACATTTCTTTTACCGCCAAATATTTTTTTTGTTTTATTCTGACTTAGTTCAACCTTAGTTTTTACATCCAAATTATTATTTATGTATGGTTCCTTATTGAACTGTTTAATAATTAAATCAAATTTACTATTTAATTTTCTATTCATGTGCAATTCAGCTGGGCTTTTACCTGTGGTACAATGAATAGTGTTTCTATAATCTAATAAAAATTTACAATATGCTTGTGTTATATTAGGAGTATTATCTAATATTTTTTTCATTTTATCCTTAAAAATGCCTACCATATTCTCCGCTGCCCCATTGCTTTGTGGATGATAAGGTGGTGTTAAAATGTGTTTGATACAATTATTTTTAATAAATATTTGAAATTCTTTAGAAGTCCACTGTGGTCCATTATCAGTCACAAAAGTTTGACAAATACCATACCTAGAGAAAAATTCCCTCATAACATTTATAGTATTTAATGCAGTAGTTGAAGTCATTGGTATAACTTCTGGCCATTTAGAAAACTCATCTATTATCACAATAAACATTTTTTTATTAAGTTCTAAGAAATCAGCATGTATCCTTTCCCCCGGTTCATTAGGATATTCCCATACATGTAATGAAGACTTAGTAGGTTCTTTTCTGAATTTAATACAGGTACTACATGAAGCTACTAACTGATCAATATGTTTGTTTAGTTGTGGCCACCAAAAATAATTTCTAACCATCATTTTTAACTTAACAACACCAAAATGAGTACTGTGCAATTCATTTAAGAAAATCTCCTGTAAACATTTTGGTACAACTAATCTGTGACCTAGTAAAATACAATTTTGTTCAACAGTTAATTCATGTTTTTGTAAGTAGTATGATCTAATTGGTTCTTGAATGATTTTAACCTTAGCATTTGGCCATCCTGTTAAAATATATTTTTTAATTACTTTCAATACCTCATCTTGTTCAGTTTCTTTTTGTATCATATTTTTATTTATACCTTGAAAATAATCATTAACAAAATGAATTGTTGACACATCCATTTCCCTATCATTTGTATGTGTGATTGCTAACCTACTTAATGCATCAGCACTTTGGTTATTTTCAGATTTAACATACTGAATACTATAATCATAATTCGCTAAGAACAAGGCATATCTCTGTATCCTATTAGCTGCCACCTGAGGTAAACTTTTTTTTTTCATGAAAAATATATGTAAGAGGTTTATGATCAGTAAGTAAAATGAAATGTCTCCCATATAAATATTGGTGGAATTTTTTAATACAAAAAACTATAGCTAATGCCTCCTTATCTATCTGAGAATATTTTTGTTCGGCCAGATTCAATGTTCTAGAAGTATATGCGATCGGCCTTTCTTCATTGTTTGGTAAGATATGTGAAATTACACCCCCAATACCATAGGAACTAGCATCGCATGACAATTTAATTTTGTAATTTTGATTGAAATGTGTTAATATTGGAGCTGAAGTTAGAATTTTTTTTATTTCATTAAAAGCATTGTCACATTTCTTATTCCAATTAAATTCATTATCTTTTTTAAGTAGATTGTATAATGGATATAATATTTCAGTGCTATTTTTAATAAATTTAAAATAATAATTTACCATCCCTAAAAAAGACTTAACTTGTGTTATATTAGTGGGAATTGGTGCATCTACAATTGCTTTAATTTTTGTTTCACTTGTATTTAATCCATGTTTATTTATTTTGTACCCTAAATACTGTATTTCATCTTGAAAAAATGCACATTTTTCTTCTCTAACTGTTAAACCACATTCTTTCAACTTGTTAAAAACTTCATTTAGTTTATTTATATGTGAAGCTACACTATCACTATGAATTAAAATATCATCTAAAAAACAAACCACATTGTCTATTTTCCTAAATAAATTTTCCATCTCTCTCTGAAAAATCCCTGGCGCTGAAGCAATTCCATACATTAATCTATTTGGTACATATAACCCTTGATGAGTTGATAAAGTCAGAATTTCTTTAGAATTTTCTTCAACTAATAACTGTGTATATGCTTGAGATAAATCAATTTTTGACCATATTACACTACCACTGATGTTAGAAAATAAATCTTCTATCCGTGGAAGTGGATACCTATCTACTTTTAAGTAAGGATTGATAGTAACTTTATAATCTCCACAAATACGAATAGATCCATTGGCTTTAATTACTGGTACTATAGGAGTTCCAAAATCACATGTTTCTACTGGTGTAAATATACCCTCTTTAACTAACCTATCAAGTTCAGCTCCTACTTGGTCTTTAATTTTATAAGGCAAGGATCTTGGTTTAAAGAAAATTGGTTTAAAATTTTCTTTCAAATACAATTTACATTTATTTTTATTGTAAGTACCTAGTTTATCAGTAAAAACTTCAGGAAATTTAGTTATTAATTCTTTAATTTGATTTGAGTGATTCTGACTTGTAATATTATTCATTTCAAAATCAATATTAACCTTAATACCTAAATACTTCAACCAATCATTACCTAACAAAGGTGGGCCACCATTTTCAACAATATATAATTTTAAGTCATAATCTTTTTCATTAAATTTAACTTTAACATTAATTAAACCAATTGGTGTAATACTATCACCCGAGTAACTTCTTAAATTCAAATTTGTTTTAACAATAGTTAAATAATTAAAATTATTTTCATAATCTGATAAAGATATTGCTGAAATGGCTGAACCTGTATCTAATTGCATATCAATTATTTCATTTTCAATTTGAACTTTAATTGTTATGTTATTATTTTTTTTATTCACTACTTCTATTTGAAATAATGTGTCTATGTCTAAATTATCTGATTCCAAAAAATGATTTGATTTATTTATTTTGTTTTTAAAAACTTTTTTATTCCTTGTACCAAAGTTACTTTTATTATGATTTTTATTTTTTTCATCTGAAAACTTAGATTGAACCTTGTCAGTTTTATTTTTATTAAAATAACAAACCTTTTTTAAATGTCCCTTCTTATTACATATTTCACAATTTCGATTTTTAAAATAACAATTACCAAAAACATGATTCATATTACCACAACATGTACATGTGCCGTCAGCATTGTCACCATTCTTCCCATTTTTCCAATTTGGCTCCTTCCATTTGTTTGATGCCTTCTTTTTTATGAAGTTGAGATCTCCTTTGGTAGCCTGTTGAAAATTCTCCAGACTTTTCTCTGCGCCCTCGTGTGCTTGACATATTTCTTTAGTTCTTCCATAAGTCAAATTCGGTTCTTCACATAGTTTCTTTTTAAGCATACGGTCGCTTACACCATGAACTATTTGATCACGTAATGCTTCCTCCAAGTTATTTCCAAAACCACACAATATGGATAATTTTTGTAGTTTTGTCATAAATTCAGTGATCGTTTCATTGTTTTCTTGTAGACAATTACGGAATTTGGAACGTTCAGCAAGAATCGAAACTTTCGGTTGTAAGTAATCTTTCATATTACTTACTAGCTTTTCATACTCGACATCTTTAGGTAGTTCTGGAGTACAAAGAGATTTAAGTACTTTATAACCTTCACTTCCAATTAAGGTTAAAAATATAGCTGCTTTATTTTCTTTTATTTTATTCACCAGCATATAGAGTTCTAGTCGTTCTACCCAGGTTTCGAAATCTTCTTCTTGCTGTAATTTGAATTCTTCTATATTACCAATTTTAGCCATTTTTTTTTCCGTTTTGATCCGTGTAAATTTGATATTAATTACACTTCTCAATATCCCATCTTCGTCGCCACTTTTGTGTCTCAAGTATTTTAACACAAAAAATATGTCTGAGTCAGAACTTTTATTATATAATGAATTATAATTTATAATTAAATGAACTTTTTATTATAATGATGGCACGTTTTTAGTTATTACAGAACAATCAGTGTCGCCAACACAACACATTCTGTATTAAATTATTTGCTGTTTCATTAAACACTGGGTAAAGCTTAATATGAAAACTACTTAATACTGACCTACGTCTACTCTCTTTTATTTGTAAGTTGTGTTCTAGATAAGTATTTTATCATTTCACATCCAATGACAATGAGTAGTGTCTAACCTACGGTTGAAATTTGTTACATGCTTAATATTATTCACTGTGCTCTTAGATACATATTATATGCATTGTTTCTGTACATAACTCTTTGTGAATTGTATACTGGATAAGTATTTTATCATTTCACATATTGTCTTATTGTTAGCAATTTATACAACTAACTTTGTTTGTACTACAGTGTAACATATTTACTACTATATTCTTCTTTTTATTGTTGGAAGTTAAAATTCCGTATTAAATTACACTTTATTTTTATTAATTTTGTTAAAAAGATAAACGGTATATCCACTCCTACGAAATAGGTAGTGTAAGTCACAGTTAACTCTCTGTTGGGTATTTACAACCAATGAACAAAATACTACTACTACTACTACTACTACTACTTACTACTGACCTAGGTATACTCTCCTTTATTTGTAAGTTGTGTACTAAATAGGCATTTTATCATTTCACATGTAGTACTCTTAGAAATGTTTATATTATTTTAATACACATTCAATTAAACATTATTTTGTACAGCTCTTTGAAAAATGATTTGAACTACAACATGTATCATATTATGATTTCACTATAACACTTACTGTTATACAGTGCAATACGTTTTTTGCAATGTTTCAAATTTATTGTTGTTAGAAAAAATATAAATATGTATAAATGCTCAACCAATTAAACATTCTAACCTGTGAATTTCTTTGTATTTTGATTGGTACTTGATTTTAAAGTTAAAATTTATTTATTTAACTATAACAAAAGTCAGTATACATATTTTATTATCTCAATAATAAACCTGCTTACTACAATGACAATTTTAGATTATTCTATGACAGGAAGGTACTTATATCAAGTCATTATTATTGTAAAAGATTGTATTACTGAATGCGGCAGTGTATGTTCATTATTAAGTACACATCACTGAGTATTATTAACGAAATAAGGTTTTTTAGTGTTATTAAAACTTCACTTACATATTATGAGCGATATTTTCTTTACATTGTGTGTACATTTATACAATTAATACAATCAATACTGCCCCATGCTTAATTCATACTGACATATATTTTTAAGACCAAAAATTATGATAAATGCATTTGACTCGACTATTAAAACTGTTCTATTAACATTTAATAATTTGAAATTAACCTAACCTGTACATTCAATTTTACAATTCCAATAACTGTTAATTACTACTTATGAACTATTATTAAATATTTATTATAACCTATTCATTACCTTAAATTAATATTTTGTCTTACTAACGAATGTTTAATTAATGTGGACATATGCATACATACATACATACATAATACACTTAAATATAATACTAATGTACTTATATATATTAAATATATATATGATGAGAGTAACTGTGTACTATAACTAATAGTTTTTTTTTATACTTTCACCTACACACTGTGTTCTGTTAGTGAAGTAATTAAAAAAACTTTACCTCAACAGAACAATTTTATTTTACTTATTAGTTTTCCCTTTTGTCATTTGACTTAACTATTTAATGTGTAATCAAGTTTGACAACTGCTTCAGAACCATTTTCTATAAGATAATTTAAACTTAGCTCTGTGCTTTAACCACTTACTCTGTGTTACTAGGTACTTAAATAAGTTTTATTACATTTATAGTAGTTATAAGTATATAGGTAAGAAAAATATTTTTTAGGGTTAGGTTAGGATATTTAAAGCACGACTACATTATACTAATATACACATACACACTGTAGTTAACTACATTATTACATAAATACGTTTGTTCATTTACTTTTGATTTGCTCATTGTTTATTGTTTTTATTATATATTGTATATAACTATCTATATTTCACATATTTAATGTGTAACTGTTAATTATATATTACTACTTATGAACGGTATTAGAGTTAAAGTTAAAACGTAAATTTTAAATGTTAAGCTTATGTATTAAGCTTAAAGATATTCAAGTATGATTGCCTTAAACTAATATTTTGTTTTACTTTAACGTACAGACTGTGTTCGGTGAGTTAACTATAGCATTACATGTATTACAATTTTACTGCTTCAGTACCATTAATTTACTACTCAACATTAAAGACATGTACTTTACTTTTTGTTTTAATTATTACTTTAATACACTGGCTAACTCTTAGTTACAACTTACTTTATTACTATCATTATTGTTCATGATTATGTTTACTTCTTAAGTATAACATTAGAAGCATTATGTCAATGAATGTTATGTCAGTTACATACATACCAATATACATACTATAACTATACAATACATAATAACTAATATTGTTTTTTTACTATCACGTACACATTTAATTCTATTACCTTGATTTACACGTGCTCAAACCTAAACTAACTAAACAGTTAGGCATTTGTTCATTTGATTATTATTTTTGTTGAGGATCATGACGTATACCTAATACCTCAACAGAACACTTTTATTTTTACTTAACTATTTAATGTGTAACTGTTTATTACTACTTATGGACTATGATTATGTACCTATTCATTGATTATGGCTCGACATAGAGTCAGACTTTAAACGTTAAACTTCTGTGTTATGATTTTTAATGATTGCCTTAAACTAATATTTTGTTTTACTTTCACTTACAAACAAATGTTGATATAAGTGTACATGTCTCTCTACACAACACTTATTTCACTTATTAATTTTCCCTTTTGTCATTTGACTTAACTGTTTAATTGTATAACTGTTGATCACTGCTTCAGAACCATTCTTTTGCTATGACTAAACATATTTATATTAATAACAACCTATTGTTTTAACTAATATCTGTTTGACAAATATGCTTACAATATAGTTAATTAAACAATTGACATTAAATATACAACTGTACTTTTTGATTTAATTATTACTTTATTACTAAAGTTATTATTACTATTACTTTATTATTAAATTATTACTTTAAAGTTGTATACTTAAATAAGTTTTATTACAATTAGCAATAAAAACATAAATCAGAATATATATAACATAATATATCAAAATGTAAAACATAAATAATATAAAATAAAAAGATATAAAAATTTTAGAACTATGAAGTAACGCTAAAACATTTTTACTCTGCCATTAATACAATTAATTAATTGATAAATAAATATGTGATTTAAAATTGAATTACACTAACCGCCTATTAATTTATAGGTAGTCGGACGGCAACTGGTGCCAGGCGTGGCTGAAGAGCCTGAAGGTGGAGACCCCGTGCAAGTTGCACCTAACCTTGTGGACGAAAACGCCATGATGGACGACCACATTGAAGTTGTGATGGAAGACGGCGTTATGGACGGAGACAATGTGGAAGAACATGAAGACGTGGAGAACATGGAAGTCGTGATGGAAGACGAAGACAATGTGGACTACATCATTGAAGTTGTTATGGACGAAGACAATGTGGAAATTGTCGACGTGGACAACATAGAAGTCCAGATGGACGACGAAGTTTTGCCGGCAGACGTCGAGATAGTCGATGTCCTGCCCGGTGAACTCGAGTTCATGGACATTTTCGAAGACTTCAACCCTGAAGTTGCTGTTGAACTACCAAGAGTTCATGCGCCACGAGTAGACAGGCCAGCCAGCGTTCGACACCCACTTCCGGATCGGCACGACATCGGGCCGTTGAATGAAGTCTGCAGGCACTGTGAGGCCCGTCACTTCAACTGTGAACGCACTTTGAGGGGTCATTTCACATTGTGTTGCAACAACAATCAGATGGTGATTCCTGAAGGACCCCGTCGGTTGCAACAAGCACCTGAATTGCTACAGAGTTTGTTGGTAGACGACTCACGGATAGCAACCCAGTTCCGTAGAAACATAAGACGGTACAACAACACTCTTGCGTTTGCCGCCTTCTCCACTGACCTCAATCAGAGAAGATTGCCTGGTCGCGGACCGAGAGTGTTCACTGTACACGGGCAGGTGTATCGAAGGATCACCAACGACGTCGTCAGAAACGACGACAGACCCCCAAGTTATTGTGAGCTCTATTTCATTGAATCTGGGGAAGCAAACCGGGTTCGCATGAACCAGAACCACCAGGTTGAGCTGAACGAGACTGTGCTTACAGACTTGGACACGATGCTGAGGCAAACCAATCCATTTGCCATGGCGTTCAGCAACATGAGAGCAGTGTGGCTGGAGGAACAGAGAATTGCCAACGCCGATCCTCTGGTGGAACCCAGGAGAGTCACCATGCACTGTTTGACTCGAATCCAGTGAACCCACAACACAGGATGCAAAACTTATCATACGGCTCCCAGCACGCAGATCCAATGCTATACCCCCTGTTGTTCCCACACGGTGAACTGGGTTGGCATTTCGAACTGCGACAAGATGATGGTGGCCGGCAAAATGCTGTGCGCACACGCAACACTATCAGAGAATTTGTGTGTTACCGTCTGGCCATTCGTTACAAAGGAACTAACGACCACAGGCATCAAAAATTCAGTCTGGTACACCGTGCGTGCTGGTTATCTGTTTCAACAGTACGTCTGTGAACAATACGTACGAATGGAAACAAACAACATACGGTTCATTGAACGCAATCAGGGAGCCCTGTTTGCCGAAGCGTATCAGGGCCTGGTGGATCACATCAACCAGCAGTTGCA